AAAAACTTAATACTACAGCTTAATTTAAGAAATGGCAACTTCGAGATCAGCATTACCGGTATGCCGACTGTTTCCATGTTGAAGGAAGAATATTACATCTGGATAAGAACCTATGTTTTGAAGAGTCGTCTCTTGTTTAAAACCCTGCAAAAAGTTGTCTTTCTTACTCAAAAAACGTAATTTGCATTTAAACCAGCATTGCGGCGAATTTATATAAAGTCTAAAGCAAAGCACCTTGAGCAACGTTTCCGTAAAGAGGTTTTGTCGGGATTGACGAGAACTAGTAATCTATTTTTTTAGACAGAAATGGCGCAAATAAATATTTAAGATTTAAAGAAACATTGAAGAAAATTTAATATATTTTTGCGCATTTTGGCGTTCGAAACTGTACATAAAATTCAATCATAAAATTCCTGTAGTTTGTATATACACGTGCTCGGTACAATTAACTTTGCAAGATGTTTGATAAATAATTACATTGATTCTTAAATAAAACTGAACATTGATTATTACAAATATATAAATTTATACATATAATTATAAGTTTATATATTTGTGCGAAAAGTATGTCACTACCACTGTCAGATCTACTGGTAGCAAAGTCATCACTGCTATGTAGTTCATCACTAATTTTTCTTGCAGACATTATAATGTGTATTTTTTTAAAACTTCTTACAAACGATGTATGTATATGCTTCACCAAGTTTCGGAAATGTTTTATTTATGTTTCGTCCGGTAGACTTACGACGACTCTAAGGCATTCGCGTTTGGGCCTAATACCTTGCGACACCTCTGAGGCGTCATATTTGTGTTTGAGCCGATAATCTTTGGACGCCTCTGAGGCGTCTTTGTAAGCGAAGGGTTTAAGCTGAGTTTTGAGTTTTATTTAAAGCTCTTGACAAATAAGTTTGATAATAAATCGATTTACGAATAAACCGTAAATTTTAAATTGTTATATCTCTATCGATCAATATCATATCGATCATATCATATACGATGAAACAAATATATCAAATAATCGCTGATTTGTTTGAAAAGCTAACATATTTAAAATAAAGGCATGATGATACATAATCTAGAGTATGAAAACAGAATTAACAAAAATAAATATAAACTATGAAAGTAAACAAACAGTGGTTTCACACCGGCTTTCGAGAACATTACTATATACCAATATTTTGGTTTGGAAAATGCAAACGTTACTCATTATTTCTCAAGATTACAAATTTGACATTACCAATCTAAAATATTATATTATACATAATCAGAAATTTGCAAATCTACTGAAACCAGTTACTAACAATAAAGCACAGATTCGAAAACACTCGTAGTGCCGATTGTCCTAGATTATAATTGCACCGGCCGTTGATATTTGACTCACGCAAAATTCGTTGTTTGGATGATATAACATCATAAACTGAATCAAATTACAAACTATTATGCAAATCTGATTAATCAAGGTTACATAATCGTAAAAATTTCATTCAACATGATTGTTCGACGAATCATATTTTTGTCAGTGATGGTCGCATAGAAATAAAATTTCGGAACGTTTAGCAATAAACATTTGCAATTTTAGATTGTTGTATTTTTCCGTTTCTTTGAAATTAACAGTTGGCTGATTTTGTTTGTAAACATTCTTCAGAAAATCTTAAATCGATTTTGAGAATCCAGATACCAAAATTATTTTTCTTATCAACTGATAGAATAATTTTTGCGGATAATAAAATAGAATAATTTTCAGATAATAAAAATCAATTGATAAGTTTTATTTGTTGTTAATATAAATTGTTCTTGTTTGCTTTCGTTTTTTTTTAGTTACTAATAGATAAAAACATAAATTTTCTTCTATATTTTCTAAAAAAAGATTAAAATTATTAACATTTGCTTAATTAATCTGGATTCTAGAATTAAAAATTTGTCTCCGAATAGAAAATTAAAAAAATATAAGTTGAAAATTTCTTTTAAAAAAAACTGCCCGCCTCATCTCTCTTATAAGAAGGTTTACGTCCTGTCAATATTCCTATGAATTGCAAACTACTCACAATTAGTATATAATATATAATCCTAAATTGATAATACCTAAATTCTGAACATGTTCAGAATATATTTAGAACGTATTTTGGGCATATTTAGAATGATTGAAAATATATTAAAAGTTAGTTGCTTTTGAGATTGAGAGCAACCCAATGGTTAACCACACGTCTTTTCTATTTCTATATGCTGAATATTAGATATCTAATAGTGTTGGTTTGTGTCTTTTGCATTAATACCTGCGAAAAGCGATGTTCACCTAAGATCTAAAAATATCAATTTGATATCATTACTGTTTGATATCGAGTTTGGCCGAAAATGGGATCGAACCCTTTTACTAGAGATATAAATTTCTCACAAAATAAAAAATGCGTACAACTAAAAATAATGTTTATCTGTCACGAAGGCAATTTAATTGGTTAATGGGCTGGAAATCACAAGTCTCATTAGAAAATAAACTCCTAATGTACTAGACAATTATTAAACCAATATGGTCCTACGGTCTACAACTATGGGGTGCGGCCAGTAAATCAAACATAACTATTCCACAGAGGTTCCAGAACAAAATTTTGAAAGGAATCATGAACGCTCAAAAATATGTTCCAATCTGGGTAATACACCAAGATCTTAGAATTCTAACTTTAGAAGAAGAAATTAATCATTACTGCTCCAGGTACAAGACTCGTCTAAGTCGTCATCCAAACCAACTAGCAAGCCTTTACCGCCAAAGTGACTGAAAAGAAAAACCTGCAATAATTTACTACATTAAATCACATAATATCTGGGAAGGTGCTATCGCAAGATAGCGATCCTTCACATGCTATCAAATCAAATTTACCTATTTAAGTAACTGAATGTAGAGTGTGTATAGCTTGCTATGTAAATTAAAACAAAAAAAAACTTTTTCACAATTCCTAGAAACAATTTAAATTAAATATACACACTTATTAAATCTTTTATAGTCGATAATGTCCATATTATTTAACTTTTGAGTAGATTCTAAATTGATGCTAAGTAGATTCTAGTGAGATTCTAACCTGAAACTGATTAGATCTCAACCAAGTCCTAAATAGATTTTTGTAAGATTCCGACAGGGTCTTTGACAGATTATCATTAGATCCTTCTTCTTCTTCTACTAGAATTAGCTTCGTAGTAGTTACTCATGAAATTCTTGCTGGATCATGATAAGGTCCGTGGGTCCATGCAAGATTCTTATAAGATTTCTAATATATTCTCACAAAATGTCATTGGACTCCACCAGAATCATGTTAAATTCTTACGGGAATTTTATTAGGCTCTTACCATATATTTTTTTATATATATATAAATCCAACAAAATAATTTTATCAGCACTGGTGTATTGCGATATGCTTGAAAGAAAGGAAGAGTTTTTGTTCTTGTGGACAGAGTCCACAGTTATGAAAAACGAAAGTGTGTCATTAATACGCTAATGCTAGTAGCGCGATTTCGTGAATTATACCGCGCTAATAAGTTTTACAAATAGATCAGTGTGTCAAACAATGAATGATATGATAGAAATATTTTCAATACGAAGAAAATGTCCAATTTTGAATGTTATCTCACATACGTGATTACTTTGTTTGAATATATAGAGTACGATTTAAAAGCCTAATTTATTTCTTATATTATAATTTCTTGCAACAAATTTAAAATTCATATAATATATATACCGTCATGCAAAATTGTATAAATAATTTATACGATTTAAAAAATGTTTTGATTGTCATTATCAAGAAACGGTAGAAAACATGTTTTTGCACTATATACCATATCACAATTGCACGTAGGGAATAGTAATGCCATACAAGATAAGTCTACGTCAATTATTTATATATCTTATCTTATAATTCTTAAATGACTACTTATGTAAATTATAAGGATATATAATTTATGTTCATAAAAATCAAGCAAAACGTTCAAAAATATAGTTACAATTAAATCCTTTTAAATGACGGTATTGTTTTAATTTGTTACCAGTTCAAGAAAATATTAATCAAAAACAATTTATATGAACTTTGTCTCAATTATCTAGGTCAATCATGTATGTATAATTTATTATCCATAAAACCTGTCTGTTCCACATAATTTTATTACACAGAGTAATGTTAAAATATATATATATATATATATATATATATATATATATATATATATTATGTAATGCATTACAGTACTATATTTATACAAAGACGGTTTATTGTTATTTTATATGAATTAAACTTAATATTTTATCCAAATTATAAAATCTTTCATTTTCTTACACATTTCAGTTTATTTCCTTTCTTATTTACTATAATGAATAATAAATGGCAAAGTCTTCGCAACTGAGCTTTTTGCATTAAAAAAAAATTTGCGATATTTCATGATTCGAATTTAAAAAGATTTTGCTAATGACTCGTTATTTACAGTTAGCCATGATGCAGAATATAATACAACATAATTATAATTGCATTCACATATAAGTTTTTCCAAAAACGCTCGATGAAATAATAAAAAGCTCTATCGTTCAATTATCTAAATCAATCGATTATACCTATTTTTTACATCTATAATAATATATTTTGTTTCGGGTTTCTTATTTTGCATTGTTTTCTATTTTTTCTTTACTATTATTACGCTTCTTTTTGCATTTTTTTTATTAAATGCTATATTCTGGCTCTAACACAAAATTATCTTTATATTTAAGTAATATTTGTTCACTTTGTCTAAAAGTTGTCGAATTTTGTCAAACACAGACCTGATTGTCCTGGTTATATTGTTTATCTATTATATTCATGTTTTGTTCATGCAACTACAAAACAAGATTTCACTTTTAACTCAGCCCGGAAGCGAACTTAAGACTAACAGATTAATCAGTGCTTTATAAAATTACATTATATATATATATATATATATATCACCATATTATCAGTATGTTGCAATTTATTTTTAATTATTTGATTTAGGATAATGAACAAAATTTTTCGGCACTTCTTGGGATGTATAATGTGGACAGCGGGATGTTGCTGGTTACCAGTCTGCAAAATTGCATCCTCTGGAGAAGCCGGTAGAAAGAAATGTCCGCCCATTAAAAGCTCTCTTTTATTAATACCAGCAATTGAACTTGCAGAACTTATCAGAACAGGAAAGGTCAGTGTCTTATGGCATAACTGTTAGTACATAAAAAATTTAAATAAAAAATAATATAAAGCCTTTCACTATTTATGACTGTTTATAACGCTGTACAACATTGAACTTTATAATTAATTTTTAAGTTGGTTATTGAAAAAAGTAGGTTCTGCTATTTCGATGATTCCAATAACAAAAATGAGTATTTGACATAGGCGTATCAAACTATTTTTAGAGAGTTTAATAATGTTTATATTTTTTCACAATTTTTTCTTGCAATATGTGAAATTAAATAATACTAATAAATTACAAAAATAATTATGTTACTGCTATGCAAATAAATGAGTCGTAACATGAAATTGGTAAATGTATTTATTTTGGGTGAGAATTATTGACGCTTTTGATAATAATTTTGATTCAAATCAAATGTTCAAATCAAATTTTGAACATATGTTTTATGTAATTGTTGCATGTTCTTTTCATTTTATTAGAGAAACAATCTTTAATACTATTGTGGATTTGTTTTCCCATATTTTTGGTACTGTTGAAAAATCTGAATTTCGGTTTCATTATAATCGGAAGTCATTATATCCGTTTTCTATAAAGCATTTTATATAAAAAAAAACTTCTAATGTAATTATGTCATATGCTAATCCTACTGTAGAAAAATTTTACTTATTTAACATATTCTTTTTTTTAACATCAATTAAAAAAGGTTTGACCTTTTAACGTCAGATGCTTACAATACTTTATTTCGTGTCATATATAGTAACAATAGTATATTTAGTGTGATTATACAATTGGAAAGAAATTCCACATTTCTCTACTAATTCATTTTTAACGTCAATAATGAGAGGTCAAACTTTTTAACGACAGATTGTAACAATATTTATGTACTGTATATGCAAATTTTTAAATTTCTTGCCTTTTGATACAAAACTATAAATTAAAAACTAAAGAGAACTTTTTAAATTCCGGTACAGTTGAAATTTTCACTAGTAAATCAATAAGGTGATTTTTGAAATAATCTATAAATGTGATATGTGAAATTTACCATTATATATATATATATATATATAATATATATATATATATATATATATATATATATATATGTATGTATATATAGAAGTTCAAAACGCATATGTCTTTGATCACATTATGCACTTAAAGCACCGAATATATAAAACCTTCAAACTTTCCCACAAAGCCTTGTTTTGCGCATTGTCAATTAAATTGGTTTAGGCTTTGATAGCATTGGAGATACTTATAAGCCACATACAAGTTAAATTAAGTATACTATGAAAAAACGATCAGAAATCCTAAAACGTAATAATAAAAAAAAACATTGTCGATTGACTGTGTTGGTTTGTGATGTGTTGTGATTTTGATTTCGATTAACTTTCCTTCCAGATACGAAGCGAAGATGTGGTTTCAGCCTATATAGAACGTTGCAAAGACGTTCAGCCCATGCTGAATGCTATTGTTGATTCGCGTTACGATAAAGCATTACGCGAAGCTAGAGAAGCAGACGAAATAGTGGCTGGAGGAACAATGTCTGTGCAGAAGATTGCTGAAGAAATGCCACTCTTGGGGGTGCCAATTACTGTCAAAGAGAGCATCAAAGTTCAAGGTATAGGGTTTATATAAATATTGTTTAGTCCTTCTTTACTTTAAATTAATTACAGCTTTTAATTCCCTCTTTTTGCGTAAATCATCAATCATCTGCATTCTTTTCCCAGTCCTTTCAGTCCTTCACTTTTACCTTCGACAACGTTGTGTAGAAGGCACTCTTCTTGTAGAATGGGTGCTCTAATTTCAACATATATCAAGATATATATATATATATATATATATATATATATACAACAATACCCCGCTTAACGCGGGGGATACGTTCCATCAAAGTAAAACGTAATGCAAAACAGCGCTAAACATGGCTTTCTTTATATGGAATTATCGGGGTTAGGAGAAGATGGCTAAGTATTGAATTTAAAAAGTATGATTATTTTTAATAAAAATAAAACCGAACATTTATTTCTTAAAGCCCAAATTAATACCACATTATTATTTCTTGCAAAAATATAAACAAAACATAAATAACAAAATTCTAAGTCTTTCATATTCAGTTAGCCTTCCGCGTTTTCATTATTGTATCCTTTTGTGACAAAAGCATCTAATGCTGTTTGCCGTTTTCTTTTCCGTTGTTCTCTAAAAAGTTATTCATAAACGGATAGAGCATCTCTAACACCACGCCTTACTTTTGAGCTCCTGTCAAAATTCGGATCATTTTCAATGAATTGATCCATTATTTCAGTTATGGTCCTTTTCACAAACACCATCAAAAATTCTTTTTGCTCTTCCTCTGATTAACTGCTGTCAAATTTTTTGTTTTCTTCTTATTTAGTTAGCTCATCATTAGAAAGACTGTGCTGCTTCTTGAATTATTTCTTCGACATCTTTGACATTTACTCCTTCAAAATTTGGGTTGAAATAAAAGAATTCTAAACTAAAACAGCGCTAAGCGGGGTATTACTATATATTATATTGATTATAGTAGAATTGCATAGATTGTAGAAATTCAATCATTATTCGAATCGCGTTGCTCATATAAGTATACAATAAAAAAATGTGGATGGTTTTGGGCATCATAACTCCAGAACGCATCAACCGATTTCGACGATTTTGCATTTGTTGGAAAGATCTCGGGCTCCGTGAGGTTTATAGCAAAGAAAATTGAAGAAAGATTTCAACAGAAAAGCGCATAACACTTTTTCTTTTTTCACATACAGCACATTTTTGATACTTAGCACGTACTGCAAACTAATTTTTTTTGTTTGACTGCCACTCATTTGTTTGACAGCTACTCATTGTTCTCTGCTCAGTTAATTTCATATGACAAACCGGCATTGTGTTCGCTGTGTAATTGTGCAAAATAAGTAAAACCATCAAATCAATCACGTGTATTGTGCAAATTTTTATTCAATTTCAACAGCAGGCAATTTTTTCCTTCATCTTTTAATCACCAAAGGAAATGTTACATAAAATGAAACCATCTGGTGGTGAAACGGAGTTCGCCCGGTTTGCTAGTATGTATGTATATATTAATTGCCATAAACAACCTGCTCACGGTCTTCGAAAATTATTTAATATCCTGATATGAATATCTGTATATTAAATTAAATAAAATTCTTCTAAAAGTATTTATTTTTTAGGCCTTAGCAACACATCGGGGCTCGTATCGCGTCGTGATGAGGTGGCTACAGAAGACGCAGATGTAGTCCGGCAAGTGAGAGCCGCTGGCGGTATAGTACTTTTGGTCAGCAATACACCCGAACTATGCATGTCTTGGGAGACATACAATAAAGTTTCTGGTTTAACTAGAAATCCATATGACTTAAGACGAACGCCAGCTGGTTCGTCAGGTGGTGAGGTAATTTTAAAATTAATTTCAAATATTTTGTAATGCATACTATTTTGACTTTTTCTAAAGATTTTTTTTATAATGGCGCTACGTCACAGTAAATTAAATATTCACTATTAAATCTTTTGTTAAATTCACTCACCATCGTTAATGGCAATCTTCCAATTATTATTGTAATAATTTTACAAAATTTGGTTTTGATTACTACTTTTTTCTTATAGCAGATGTATAATGAAATGAATTAATGAGAGATTATTATTACCAAAAAACACTTGACAAACTTTTAATATAATTAATACAAGAAAATAAGATATTTTTGATGTTTCCGAAACATCGTTTTGCTACTAATAGGAAACCTTTCGCTACCATTAGGAAAAATAATTATAATATTAGACAGTGCATTAGAAAAAATACTATTGACAACTTCTTTGCTTAACCCAAAGGGAGCATTATTAGGTTCAGCTGCATCCTTACTCAGCTTGTCATCAGACATTGGCGGGTCATGTAGATTACCAGCAATGTTCAATGGAGTATTTGGACATAAGCCTACACCCAGGGCCGTCTCGACGCGCGGTCATATGCCAAGTAGCGATTCCAAAGACTGGCCAGATTTCTTTACGATAGCTCCTATGTGCAGGTCAAGCATTTACCTATAAAATATATTCTTATTTCACTTTATTTATTAGCATATTTTAATTCATATTGTTCGAAACATATTTATTTTCTGTATATATATATATATATATATATATATATATATATATATATGATTTTCAACAATCATATTTCAGATATGCATCCGATATACCGCTTCTACTAAGAGTTATGTGCGATCCATCTGGTCCAAAACTTCAATTAGGCTTACAGGTGTGCTATTTTAATAAATTAATTGTTTAACTGTATAAAACTTCCTTAAATGTTATTTGAATTTACAAAATACTTAGATTCCGATTAAGAGCATTAAAGTATATTATATGGAAAATGATGGAAATTCTGGAATCACATCCAAAGTCGACCCACAAATCAAACAGGCAATGAGAAAAGCAGTGAGCTACCTCGAATCAATCCAGGGTGTTAAACCAGTAAAGGTTAAGTAAAATATATTTAAAGCATCACACAAAAAGATTTAGTTCAATTTTGTATTATTTAACAATATGGTAAATGCTCATTCAAAAAGTTCACTATTTTGAATTTTTATAAATATATTTAGGTAAATCTCAAGAAAATGAAAAACGCTTTCGAAATAGCGGCGACGATGTTGTTGCGCATAGAAGGAGTGGATAGTATTTACAATGTGGATTCAAATCCAGGAACTACAAAAAGTATTTTGCCTGAACTATTTCGTTATATAACTGGCAGATCAGATTCAATATTTACACCGATCATGTACGGACCTCTAACGAAAATTGCCAAAGCAGTTCCAGAAAATAGATATAAGATTCTAAGTGAAATGAATGAGGCTTTAAGATTTGAATTTCTAGTAAGTTGGTATAATCTAAGTATATATAATAATGAAGGGGTTTTCATATTTTTTATATTACTTTATATATTACCAAAAAAATTAAAATTAATACGTTTTTGCTTTTTTTTGCAGGATCTGCTTGGTACAGATGGCGTATTTCTATATCCAACATTTCCATCGCTGCCTCATTATCACTATGAGATTTTTCATAAAATTTTAAATTGTTCATACATGATGATATTCAATAGCTTAGGATTTCCTGTAACTAATTGCACATTAGGATTGTCGAATGAAGGATTACCAATTGGAATTCAGGTATATAATGTTATGTTAAAATTCAACACTTAGAGTTTAATAGACGACTATTTTAATTATCCACTAAATAATAATGAATTAACTAGTGATTACTACTAACTATTGACTTAAAAAGCTGTGTCTCTGTAGATGTAGGAGTTTTCATAAATTAGCACTTTGGAACACGGCAACCAAAGTTATGGATAGGCCGTGAATTAATTTACAAATATTTTTGATCAAGTGAATAGAAACGTTTTTTATAGAAGTATAAAAATAGGGATCTAAAAATTACATCATACATGTATTACTCTTGATCATTTTCACACTGCTGTAATACGGATGTTATAGAAATTCTCAATACCTGCATCAATTTAGAAGTAAATCTTTACTTTTCAAACGTTTATTTTTTTATTAAAATTAGGATAAAAAATTCACTGACTATAAATATGTTTTCGAAAAATGTTAACTTTTGAATGCTTTGTGATTTTTTACCTTAATTTAATATTTAAAAAAAATTGAATACACTGGAACTATATTTATGCAGTAATTTTATCGAGTACATTAACTTAAAAATATCCCCAATAAATTTTGTAGCGCATTTATTCTAGGACCTCATGTACTTGTGCGGTATCTCAAACCTTACTGTATAGAAAGAGAAAATTGTTATTATTAGAACTGTAAAAAATGTGTTAACTTGCATATGTAAAGTATATATAATGCATATATAAAGTAAAAAACTCACTTTTAGTGTCGAAATAACCACCTTTTCTTTGTATCACCAAAACGAATTAAATCTTTTTATTAAACCTCAGGTTTTAAAGTTTTACAAAAATGAGTCAGGTGTTACTCTAATTACCTGACTGTTGGCTGTAAACCAGAACCATATCTCTTTTATTATTCAAATTGATAATGGATGTAATGTTACGAGATATATTAAGTTTACATATTATCTTTATATTATAATCAGCAGTTAGTCAATTAATACATTCATTCAGATTGCAGCAAATCCTTGCCACGATCATTTAACAATAGCAACTGCGCAAGAGCTGGAAAGAGCGTTTGGTGGATGGATACCTCCGCCTTGTGCAAGTGAATAATGGAAATTATATTTGTGAGCTATACAGAATTATTGAAGTGATTATGTACATATCAATGAAAGACTATTAGGTGTACAACTATTACTTAAATAGATGTAATTTCAATTAAATACCATATAGTAATACCATGACGATTTTAAATTCATTTTTAGAACCGAGTGGAAATGAATTTAAAAATAGAAACTATTTAAAAAAATGCATTGTTGAGTAGTAACAATAATTTAAATAACTCGTTCAGCAAATGAATTATTGTTAAATTGTTGTATAGTTTTAAGTGTCAATATTTTATCAAATATTTATATATATATATATATATATATATATATATATATATATATATACATAAACAATTTATTGTAATCAATATTGTTTTAATTTTAATTTATGTATTAATATTTGTATTTATTGCTAAGTGAATCATATAATAATGATTTAGATGTGATGTGCAAATTATTCAATAGCAAACTTAAGTGTATATTAATAGCAATAAACAATTTCTTTTTTAGCCAATTTAGTTTAAAATAAAGCAATATAATTGTTATCGATACTTTGAAATTTAAACTTAACATAATATGAATATAGATTCTCTTTAATATTTTATCAAGTATATGGAATATTATATTTTGAATTTTTTTAAGGTCTTCTTAAAGTCCAAAGACAACAACTAAAACCATAATACAATTTCAAGTTTTTTATTAACTTTCATCTTTCAACAAATTCTAAACAAAAAATTTTAAATCGTTTTAAAATGCATCCTAAGGTTTAAAACCTATTTTAAAAAGTTCAGATTATATAAGTTGACAAAATAGTTTATTGAAGATTTAATGGCCCGATCGTTAATTTTTGATGATGTTATAGAAAAACTTTTGCGCAACAAAAAGCCAAAAGAAAAGATTTTACTTACTAAATTATAGTAATCGCAAAAAACGCAAATGAAATTTTTTATGTATCTTTACGTTTCGAAGCATATTGAACATTTTCACATACTTTAGAAAAAATAGATGTATGTATGCATGTGTGTATGTATTTATGTATATATGTATGTGTGTGTGTATCGACGACAATTTCGAGAACACGGATCAACAACCAATTTCAATAATTTAAAAAAAAAACATTGCTATTGATGAGGTGAAATGCAGACTAGTTTTTGGCCAAGTGATGTCTATAACTATTTCGAAGATACGGGGCAAAAAGTGTTAAAAATGGTAACTCAGTTTTTGCTCAAAAATGGTAACTCAGAGAAAACGGAGCGTACGATTTGAATGATTCAATAGCATTTTACTTATCTTGGCGAAATAAAGAACTGAATATTTTTTTGGGAAGGGATTGCGTAAACACAATTAAAAAGGCATTTGGTGGTCAATAATGATCATTAGACATATGCGCATCACATTATCAGATATTTTATAACGATTTTATAAAAAACATTTATAGATATAGATTTTTAAAGATATGTACAAATTTTGTTTACATTTCTATGGATTTCGTACCAAAATTTATAATTTTTAACCGTTAGACTGCAGCGCTTACTCGCTTCGATATTTCTTCATTTCATTTCGTTACTTCGAAAAAAAAAATTGAAAAATATTCAAAACATTAAGATAATCAACCTTTCATAAAAGTCCTTTTTTTTTCAAAATTCTCAAAAACCTATTTTTTCAGTTTTCAAAAATTTTTAAAGCTTTTAAAAAAAATTATTTTTGGTTCGGGAAGTTCCAGCAATTTGCTTTAAGGCACGTTGCCAAGCACCACTAGTAAATAATTAGTTCATTGAATAACTTATTTTTTAATGAAGAAAAGGCGCGCTTTTGGGATGTCATCTGTCACTTTGTCATAACCAAAAACAAACCTTCGAATTCTTAAGTCTCTTAAGGTAGAAGTGTTAAGGAAAAAAAATAGCAATTATTTTTTCAAATCATGCCAGTTGAATACAAAAATAACATTTAAATAAATATATCAATATCAATATAATAATATATATATATCAATTGAATTTAATCAGCATATCACAAAATAAAACATATTGAACTCGTTTATCACAAAAATATGGATGTTGAACTATCTGAAGTTCTAAATGATGAACCAAAACAACTTACAGATTTAAATTTTGGATGTGGAGTTTCTGTTAATAAATCTCCCATTGAAACAACTGCAGGTAACTTTGTATAATACATTTTGCTTTGCTTTGGGTTGGTTGACCACATATAATTTAATAAGTGAAATACAAGAATTAAATTCAAATGCTAGTGCTAAATAGTTCTAGTTGAATATATTAGATAGAGAACAAATCTATAGTTAACCATCCGCTGTAAGCACACAAATCGCATAAGCAATAGCATGATTTTAGAATCTTACATTCTTCTGCTTTCCAAATATTTTATTAGCACTTCAAAATTTTACCCCTAGTTTTGATTAACTAATGACTTACATTTATTTTTTGTCTTTAACAGAATGTAAAGTTTAAAACACAATAAAAATTTTATTATAATAATTTTTGCAACAATAAATGATATCTTCTGGAAGATACAGTGAGACAACCAATTTTTCTGTACAACTAATAAATATAGGTATTATTCGATATGATCAACACTGCTAAATTTGTATATCACATTACAGCTAAATCTTCTGAGGATCGATTAATTCAGTTACCATTGGCTCGTGTACGTAACATAATGAAGATTGATCCAGATGTACCCCTCTTAAGTCAAGAAGGAGTGTTTGCCATAACTAAAGCAACGGTATATAAGTTTTTAGTGGCAAAAAAATTCAATCTGAAACTACAAATATCATTTATTTTAGGAAATGTTTGTTGAACAGTTGACTATAGAAACATATAACTATACAATAAAACAGAAAAAGAAGACAATACAAAAGAAAGATGTGGACAATGCTATAGATAATGTTGACGCATTATGTTTTCTTGAGGGTGCCATGAATTTTTAATATAAAACATTATCAGGATGCTTTAAAATAATTAGTTCTATGTAAATGTTAATTGTAAAAGGTTGAATTGTACCACATATTTTATCACTTATTTCTGTGAAATAAAATTATATTTCCACTTCATTATTTTTAACTATGATTTAACATTATGCTTTTTATGGTAACTGATTATCCTGTAACTAGTAGAAGAATAAATGCCAAAATAATAATAAATGCTAGATGTTATACTATCTAAGAATATAAGTTTTTGTTTTTTGTTTTTGAAAAAACCGCTTTTGAATTTGTAATATAAACAAATCTATGCTGACAAGTGTCATATTCGTTATTGCAAGTTAACCTAAAATTTTTAGATTGTGTAGATCAAAAACATTTTTGCAGGCGAAAAATGATTAATACTGAAAACATTTAAATTATTTTTTCTTAATAATATTTTAATAACTCGATGTTGAACTTGTAATATAATCTATTGTTAATATCTGTTGAAAACCTGTATCTATTGTTATCTGAATAAAACAAATCAAGTAATCTTTAATCTCATAAATAGAGAAAAAAAGAAGAATTATGGATGATGATACAGAAATTTGTAAATATGGCACACCCTTGGAACCATTGGATGAAGGTATAAGTTTAAAACAATGATTTTCAAAAAATAATGTTCTTAATTATATAGATTTTTTTATTTGTGATTATCTTTAAGGGCAAAAGGTTTTTGCTCTAAAGTTTTTATTTTCGTATATTTAGGTTGCATTTTTTCCAGTACTTATTTCTTTTTGTCAAATATTTTTTTCCTCATAACATGGTTTAAATAAATTTTAATTATTGTAACATAATTTATGCTCAAAATAAACATAGCCTTTTGTGAAAATATTGTTTATGCAATAAAAATTATATTTGATTATTTTTTTATGTAGAAGAACTTCCTCGAAGCAAACCACCTGCAGTTGAAGAACAATATGCTCTAGATGAATCTGGTAGAAGACGTTTTCATGGAGCCTTTACGGGAGGATTCAGTGCAGGTTTTTGCAATACAGTTGGATCTCTTGAAGGATGGACACCTAGTTCTTTTAAAAGTTCCAGGAAAAATAAAATGGAATCACGTGTAAATAAAAACTTATATATATATATATATATATATATACGTTTTGTATAATACACATGTTAAATATTTTTTATGATCTATCAAATGTAAAAATTTAAATATTTAAGATAAGCTTGTTTGGAAAGCCTAATACAATTTAAGTACATAGTCCTTTCTAATTACACTAAAAATTTATACTTTACAATATATTTTTAAATTATATTATAATTAGAGCAAATTAGATAATATAAATGCATTTATTGTATATAATGATGTGTGCGATTATAGTTGCAAAAACCTGAAGATTTTATGGATACGGAAGATCGTGAGGAATGGGGAATAGCACCAAAACGTCTACAAACAACCAGTGATTATACTGAAAATGTAAACAAAAAAAAAAGATATATAGGTCCACAAGGGCCAATTCCAGGTAACTTTATTAATTTGTATGCGTTAGATTTAGTTATATCTAAGATGATGACACTTTTTCTTACATAGTATACTTTATCCTTACTCATTTACTATGTATCACAACTCATTTACTCTGTATTACAACTCATTAACTATGTACTAAGTATTTTGTTTGCATTTCTTTCTCAGGTATAGTAGTTTTATTTTCAAATGATTCCTATCACTATTTATGTGTCTTTTAGAGAACATTTGATATTAAATACCACAAACCAGAAATCCACATATGTCCACATACACATATCTGACTTTATACTTTTTTATAGGAGATCCAGTATTACAAGGTCTCATTAAGGTTTCTTCGGACAATATTGGAGTACGTTTATTAAAATCTATGGGTTGGAAGGAAGGTCAAGGGACTGGTCCTCGCAGATCTGCTTCTAAACACTATGACAATTGCAAAGTATATATTTTTTCTATGTGCTATATAAGTTGTATAGTTTATTAATAATCATTTATTTTGCTAATTTTCTTCAGGAAGATATCAGTATGCTGTCAGAACTAACTTTTGGACCAAGCGATTGTGAAAATTTTGAATTTACACCTAAACTGGATTCCTTTGGAATGGGTTATTCTGGATTGGATAGAAATACTTTTTCTAAACCCTTCTCTCTATTTGAACCGTCTACTCTAAATATTATAGATAAAAACAAAAAAGTTAGTTTGCTTTTAAAATAATAAGTAATACTTAAAACTGCATAATAAGATCTTTATATTAGTTTTCAGTACAAGGGCAAGCTTTTGGTATTGGGGCTTTTGAAGATGAAGATGAAGATATTTATCACAGAGAAGATATGTCACAATATGATTTTACTCTTGAAAATGATAAGCAATTAAAACCATCAAAAAAAAAAGCTAATAGTTTCAAATTAAAATGTATTATTGGATTTGTTCTATCAAATTCTTCTACTTCTAAACTGAAAACGTATTCTTTACCAAATTTGCCTAAAAATTATGTACCTACTTGTGGTAAAAAAACTCGATTTGGTCCAATAATCCACAATGTTAATTTAAATTCAGCAAGTACATCAGAAAATTACCTAAAAAGGGGCTTGGGGAGGCACGATCTTAATCCAAGTACAAGAAGGCAAATCATAGAGGAAACTGCTGGTATTAGCAGTGTTAAAGAAAAAGTAAATTTAGAAGAAGAGAAAGAAACATTGTTAATTAAAGCCAGTAACATAACAAGCAAATTAGGTGAATTTAAATAAAAAATTGTATTTGCACATGCAACAACAGCAACATTTATTTTGAATAAAACTTTATTTGTAGGAGCTGTTACGACATTTAAACCATTTGCTGCAGATCCAGAGAAAGAGAAAAGGTATAATTATTTTACAACACTCAGTAAAGAAGAGAGGATAGAAAAACTGAGAATGGTGCAACCATTTGGAATGACACAGTGGGAAAGAGAAAGAGAATGCAGAGAATTCGAACAAGCACTTCGATTATACAAACCTTTGCAAGGTTTGATGTCTGATAGGTAATTTCTAAGTGTCTAATGTCTTAAATGTAAATTTTGTAATAATAATAACAGAACTTTCTGAATAAATGATTGCAAATAATTTAAGAAAAACAAAGACTGTAAAACAAGCAGTTACACCATCGTTAGCACCAAGATTTTTTGTGCCATTATTTATGGGCATTTTTCTTGACTTTTCATATTTCGAAAATGGAATACAGTAGAAACTCATTTATCCACTCCTCAGTTATACGGATTTGTTATTATCCGGACTACCAACCGCAACCAATTATTATTTATGTACATACTACAAGTTGAATTTTTGCATAATTAATGTGGGAGTTTAGTACATGTATTTAATGTAATCTAAGAAAATATGTATGTATATACATAAAAAAGTGTTAATTTCTTCTCGATTATAAGGATTTTTGATTATCCAAATGTCTATCAACAATTAGTGCGGTTAATTGAATTTCTACTGTATTAGAAAAATGGATTAAAGTTAATGGGGATATTTTAATCGTTTCTATAAAAAAAAATGTTGATAATTTTGTGTTTTTAATGGTTTTTTAACATTTAATTTTAAATGATAAATGAAAGATTTCAAGATACATAATTAATAACTTTTGTATTAATACTATTTAAAATTTAAATGTTGATTTTTTAATTTATTAAGATATTTCCATTTTCTTACATTTTGACTTGACATTTTAAAAAAATCATATATATTGTTTTTTTTTTTATGAATTTTATTTATTCTATTCTGTATAATTTTCTACTGATAATTATAATTGAAAAATTTATTTCATTTTCAGATTTACATCTGCAGGAACTACTGATAGAGCAAATACTTCACAACCAAAATTACAAACAGAGGAAGAAGCTGCTAATAAAAAAATGTTTGGTAAATTAACTAGAAAAGTTGAATCTTGGCAGCCTGTTAATTTACTATGTAAAAGATTTAATGTTCCAGAACCATTAGGAGGGTATGTTATTGCATCATTGTTCACTTTGTTCTATCTATATTTAAAGTGTAAAGTTATTGAATATATTTTATTTCTAGATGTATTTTATTGGACGAGTCTAACAAAAAGTCATCTAGTTATTCTGTGTTTGATTATACTGAATCATCGGTAACTAAGAAAAAAGACTATGAAAATGAAAATATGAATGATTCATTGACTTCTAACAATAAACATATTATAAAAAGTGCACCACAAAATAACATTGCAAAAACCTCTTGTGATATCATTTCTGACAATAACAAATTGAATGAATGTAAAACTTATTCTAATGATATAGCACTTAATAAAAAGTCTTCATTTGAAAAGAATATAGAACAAAAAATTAGTGATAATTTGTCTGAAAATAAAGATCTTTTCAAATTAATTTTTGCTGAAAGTTCAGACTCTGAGGATGAAGATGACAAAAAAAATAAAAGTAAGGAGTACGTAGATGAAATGAAATCATATCTACTTAATGATGATGAAGCTAAACCTAAAGAAAATATTGAAATTAATCCAGATGGAAATTCCCAACAAGAAAGCAAGATCAGAAACTCTGGTTTTGGAATCTTTGCAAATGTTAATTTAGATGCTCTAAAAGCTGAGCCAAAGAAAATGGATTTGAACGCAGCTAGACGAAATATAAATACATGTGAAAACATTTCCAATGCCGATGAGGAAAAAATACTTTTCAAAGCACCTCAAAAAACTAAAAGTAGTATAAACACTTTTTCAACTATTGATTCATCATCAAGTAAAAAAAATAAGTCAGATGACGAAGAAAATGTGTTAGACTCAAAAATTTTAGCTTATTTAGAAAAAAACAAACATAAAAAGTTGCATAAAGATTTATCATCTAGCAGCAGTAAATTAAAGAAGTCAAAAAAGAAACATAAACTGAAAGAAAAGAAAAAGAAGTCCAAAAAGAAAAAATCTAAAAAGTCTAAAGATAAAACTGACAAAAGAAAATCATCATAATTTACTTAATAAGTATTCAAGCTCTTGAAGTATGAATATATAATCATTTTATAGATATATAACAATTAAATATAAATATGAATTAAATTAACAATAAAGACATGTGATATAAATGACCATGTATTATTATTAATCTGTGACTATGAAATCTGTATATAATATCATGCATGCATATATGATGTAACACAATACTTTTTGAATATAAAAAATCTTCATTAAAATTATTAATTAATGGGATATTTCGAGTGTTCCTGCAATACTTATTAATAAATTTCACAAAATTAAATGCATTTTAGTAGATTTTGATCATAGATAATAAACATAACGTATGATTTTGATGCTGGTTTGGGTTAGTTAATGTTGAGTTACCAGTTCAAATCCGCGTTTATAGTATAGCAGCTGGGCGCTAGTCCCTCATTTAGCGCTAGTGAGCCCATGTTAAGTGCGTCAACATGGCGATTTTACTCAAACTGTACCGAAAATATAAAATTTAATTTCACAATGCGGCGCAGTTTAAGCGAATATTCAAAAAATTTAATAAATATTATTAATCGTAAGTGTACTTTTGGTGCTTATTGACAAGTTATTTTTTCTGTGCGTTTGTGTTTTATATTTATTTATAAAGTTTTAATTAAGTATTGCGTATGGCTTTGAAATGCATAACGTTTTGTGAAAAGGACAGCTTCAAATTCAGATTTGAATATTCAGTTCTACGTAGTGTATCGACAGATTAGACTAAGTATAATTATATTACAATAATTTAGAAGGAGAATAGTTGTAGAAACGTCAATGAAAAAAAGTATAAGCTTCTTCTAAAATAAGATAAGATAGAGAATTCTTCAAACTATTCAAAATGGCTAATTACTTTGGACGGTTCAGAATACATTTGGAAGAAAGTGAAATGTTGAAAATTTTCACATCATAAATTTGTTTTGTAAATTTATTTATTGCTATTCCTATTCAGTTCTGGTTTTAAATTTTACTTTGGTTAAATTGAATTTGAAGATATTGTTATTCAAAAACAAATGTTATAATTTGAGTTTGAGCAAATAAAGTTGAACACGCTAATGTTGGTATTAAACTTTCCGTGTACGCAAATGGCGCAAAAAGTTACTCACGGAAAATATATGATTTTATAAGTTAGTCAGCCTGAACGTCAAAATATATAGCGTTTTAGAAAGGTTAGTTTTGTTTGGATTTCAGCTTCGGCTTAATATTTACCGTGAATGATTTAATGTGGTATATAGTTCGTGTGCTTGGCTATTGCCTTGTTCTCTATAATTTTACAAGTGTTTTCACTTTTCCTTTAAATTACCGTATATCTATAACTGAACTTAAAATTTTCATGATTTAAATTGTTAATTTTCAAATATACGGTAATTATGTATGATGTCGATGAAGGTAATTGAACTGCTTTGCTCTCAAGATCACATTATTCTATACTATTTATGATTTATTTTAAACCACATTTTAACAATATTTGTAGAACAATATAGAGAAGATGATGAGGAAGAAATTTCAACTGAGTTGTGGCAGGAAGCCTGCTGGATCGTTATTAATGCTTATTTCGATGAAAAGGTATTTTATATATCTTTATGTATATGCAATTATTTTATATAAAGCAATTAGTTTCGTCGTACAATAATTTGCATTCTTTTCCAATAGGGTTTGGTTAGGCAGCAACTTGATAGTTTTGATGAATTCATTCAAATGTCTGTTCAAAGAATTGTTGAAGACTCACCTGCCATTGATTTACAAGCTGAAGCACAACACACATCAGGAGAAATTGAAAATCCAGTAAATAATAAAATCAATACATATTTATATTTTGATCATAAGTATAAATAGTATCAAATATATAATATTTTCAGCCAAGATATGTATTAAAATTTGAACAAATTTATTTGTCGAAACCTACACATTGGGAAAAGGATGGTGCTCCAAGTCCTATGATGCCTAATGAAGCAAGGCTTAGGAATTTGACTTATTCTGCTCCATTGTATGTAGATATAACTAAGACAATAATTATGGATGGCAAAGACCCAGTGGAAACCCAGCATCAAAAGACATTTATTGGTATTCTTTTATATTGTTCTTACATATAAGTTTTACTTTGTTACTCTATTATTTTGGAGATAGTATTGTATTTATCTGAAAATATGAAAACAAAACTAATATTTTTGATTTTCATGGCATATTATTGGTTTTTAGCAATTTAAGTATTCTTTGTGATTTTGCAGGTAAAATTCCAATAATGCTCAGGTCAACATATTGTTTATTAAGTGGATTAACTGATCGTGATTTAACTGAGTTAAATGAATGTCCATTAGATCCCGGAGGTTATTTTATAATTAATGGTTCTGAAAAGGTACTTATTGCTCAAGAAAAAATGGCCACCAATACTGTATATGTATTTAGCATGAAAGATGGCAAATTTGCATTTAAAGCTGAAATTAGGTCATGCCTGGAACATAGGTATGTGCTTCAATACTTAATTTTTTATTAAAAATGATAATTCACATACTTTTCTGAATCTAATTATTCTATATAGCATATTACATCTACTATTTATGTATATTTTATATACAGTAGAACCTCGATTATCCGGACCTCGGTTATACGGATTCGCGATTATCCGGACATAATCGCGTCGGAACTTGCATATTCCGCCCGCGACGCTGTTTCGCTGCACCGCGCGGCATTTATCGCTTTATATAGTTCATATGCAATTTTACTAGTGTGTTCTGACGTGCATATATACATTTTTAAAGGGTGGTGTTATCCCTTAAAGATAAAATAAATATTATAGAATCATTAAAAAAGGCGAAACCGGCCGTAAGTTAGCTGATAGGTATGGTGTAGGTACATCCACTATAAGCGATAGTGCCGATTAAATTTTGTCGTACACTTGCAAGTTAGATAGTAAAGAGGGGAGTGAAAATCGGAAAATGATGAACAGACCGAAAAATTAACTCTTAAAAGAAGCTCTATATTGTTGGTTTTTACAAAAACGATCAACAAATTATTCGTAAGCAACTTTTTTTCTTCATTGTCTTTATGTACCACCTGAATATTTTACCTCATGATTAATATAATATGTATAATGTAATCTAATTGTGAGAAAATATGTAAGTGTTAATTTTCTAATAAACATCGATTTTTGTTGATACCTATGTATGTATTTGTTATTTTTGATAAACAAAACATTATTCTTCATCATTTGGATTATCTGGATTTTCGATTATTTGGATGCCTATCGACAACAATTAGTCCGGATAATCGAGGTATTTTATATTTTAGTTTTATATGTTAAGTATTAATTTTGCTTGAAATTATTTTAATTTATTATCAAATATTTGATTGCTCACTTATCAACAGCAATGTGAGATTTATATGCTTTATATGCATATAGAATAGTACACATTACATATTTTTGTCATAAATATGATAAGATTTTCCATATTTATCATATGAATAATATAAAATTTTAATATATTCATAAATATTTTTATAAAAATAATTATTAAGTAGTTCATGTTGTTTATTCTTTTCAGCTCAAGACCCACATCTACTCTCTGGGTAAACATGATGGCTCGTGGTGGTCAAAGTATAAAAAAATCAGCAATTGGTCAACGAATTATAGCTATTTTACCGTACATTAAACAAGAAATACCTATAATGATTGTTTTTAGAGCTTTGGGTTTTGTTGCTGATCGTGATATTTTAGAACATATAATTTATGACTTTGATGATCAAGAAATGATGGAAATGGTGGGTAAATATTTATGTATATATATATATATATATATATATATATATATATTATTATATTTGGTAAAAAGAAATCCATTATTTTTTTGATAGATAGCTGTACTGATAGTTTTCTTGTAAAGTATTGATCAAACAATTTCAGATTTATTTTCATTGGCAAGGCGGAAAAATTGATTTCAACTACTATTCTATATCATATAGTTTTTATAGGGTTCCTAACTAATTACAACAATTATTATTATAGGTAAAACCATCACTTGATGAAGCATTTGTTGTACAAGAGCAAAATGTTGCTTTGAATTTCATTGGTGCTCGTGGTGCGAGGCCAGGTGTTACTAAGGACAAACGTATAAAATATGCTAGAGAAATTTTGCAGAAAGAAATGTTGCCACATGTTGGTGTATCAGATTTTTGCGAGACTAAAAAGGCATATTTCTTAGGGTATGTGTAAAATTGCGATACAAATAATTATTTATGATTTATAAAATCATTTCTTTCTATTTCACTTCTGACTGGATTTATTTATTTTTTAAAATTATCATACAGTTACATGGTGCATAGATTACTGTTAGCTGCGTTAGGTAGAAGGGAATTAGATGATCGTGATCATTATGGAAACAAGCGTCTAGATTTGGCTGGACCTCTTCTTGCTTTTTTGTTTAGAGGGTAAGTAAAGTAACCATTTTAATTTATCAAAAATTGAATTTTCAATAAATATTTAATGTGAAATTAAAATATTATAAAGCTTAATACTATGTTATCATAATCTATATATATATATATAGTAAAAAAAAATTCATTATTCTTGCAATAATTGGTTTTGGCTGTCAGTATCTCGCATTCTATAAGTAAAAAATTACAAAACTACAAAAAGTGACAAAAAAACTTTGTTTCCACTGGAGCAGAGTCAAATTGGGATTTATATATATATATATATATATATATATATATATATATATATATATATTGATATACATATACATATACATATTGATATACTATAATTATCATACATCATTCAGCTTATTCAAAAATTTGATGAAAGAGGTACGGATGTATGCTCAGAAATTTATTGATCGAGGGAAAGATTTTAATTTAGAACTTGCTATAAAAACAAAAATTATAACAGATGGTTTGAGATATTCTTTAGCTACAGGAAATTGGGGTGATCAGAAAAAAGCACATCAGGTAATCATTTTCTCATCAGGAATATGAATAGAATTAACAAAAATTTGAATTTGTTTTTTTTTTCTTGTAAGGCAAGAGCAGGAGTGTCACAGGTGTTGAATAGACTTACTTTTGCTTCAACTTTGTCTCATTTGAGACGTGTGAATTCACCAATCGGCAGAGATGGCAAACTGGCGAAGCCTCGACAGCTTCATAACACGTTGTGGGGTTTGTAGTTTTATTGTTTAGATTATAAATTAATATTTATAGTCATTTCATAATGATAGCATTTATAATACTTCTAATAATTAACTAGGACTTAAGTCATTAAGATTTAAATTTATTTGGTTTATTCAATAAAAATATTAAATTCTTTGTATTGTCTGAAGTTTCATAATTAAATTAGTGTTGATTTGCTCCAAGTATATATATATATATATATATATATATATATATATACTATTTGTAGAAATTTAAAATAATGTTAATTTTTATCAAATGATAATTAACAAAATTCCTTCTTAGGTATGATTTGCCCTGCTGAAACTCCAGAAGGAGCTGCTGTAGGACTTGTGAAAAATTTGGCGCTCATGGCGTATATTAGTGTCGGATCCCAGCCTTCGCCTATATTAGAGTTTTTGGAGGAATGGTCTATGGAAAACTTAGAGGAAATTGCACCTAGTGCTATTGCGGATGCTACTAAAATATTTGTAAATGGATGTTGGGTTAGTTTTTTTTTTACATTGAATTTAATATTGAAGCTTTCAAAAATTGTATCTGTGTATTTTGCAATTCTTATTACTTTTGAGTACATAAATATAATATATAATTTTTGCAGGTGGGTATTCACAGAGATCCAGAACAACTCATGACAACACTCAGAAAACTTCGCCGCCAGATGGATATAATTGTTTCTGAAGTGTCTATGATTCGTGATATTAGAGATAGAGAAATACGTATTTACACTGATGCTGGGCGTATTTGTAGACCATTGCTTATTGTTGAAAATAGAACTTTATTATTGAAGAAAAGACATATTGATATGTTGAAAGAAAGGGATTACACCAATTATGGGTATGCTGAAAATTTTTATGCGAATCATCAGACTTGTTCATGGACTAATCTGGTATTATTTTCAAAGTGGATGTTCTTACAATCTTTTTTTTTATACCATATTCTATTGATTTTATATATCAGACATTATTTTCAAGTACATTAGTTTTTTTATTAAATTTTTACTCTATATGATGAGTATATCATTATAATTCAATTTCAACATTTACATTTTCAAAATATACAATTAGTACATTATGGTTTCAGGATTAGACCCAACATGTTGTTGCATCAGTACGTTTTTATTTTTTATTAATTTGATTGAAATATATTACTAGATTTTATTTCAATAGGATTGTATTATATGCATTACTATATAAAATAAATTCAATAAACCAACTAATAAAATCAGGCATAAATATGAATTTATAACTGTTAATGATATTAGTGAGTAACTATTGTGGTCTTATTATTTTTTTTACATTTTAATCTGAACTACTATTGATATATTAATCGATATAAATTAATTAATTGAATTAACACTTTAATACATGAAAAAGCATATTAGAAGCTGAAATAATAAAAATAGTTTGATAACACATTAAGTCATTTTGTATTTTAATTATAACATTAGTTTTGTGTTATAAATATAGTTGGCAAGTATTAGTGGCTTCTGGTGTAGTTGAGTACATTGACACTCTAGAAGAAGAAACTGTTATGATAGCGATGTCTCCAGATGATCTTAGGCAAGAAAGGGCTTATGCTTATTGTACAACTTACACACATTGCGAAATCCACCCAGCTATGATTTTGGGGGTCTGTGCTTCTATTATTCCTTTTCCTGATCATAATCAAAGTCCTAGAAATACTTATCAGGTAAATATTTTATTTTGTTTGGGTTGAACTTCAATTATTTTTAGCGTAAACAATAATATACAAAATAAATTTATTAATTTACATATGAATATAAGGCCATTGTAATCATTATTTAGTTTATTAATCATTGTAATTGTTTGAATTTATTATTCAAAGTTTTTTTGTATGTTATAGAGTGCTATGGGTAAACAAGCTATGGGAGTATACATTACAAACTTTCATGTTAGAATGGATACTTTGGCACATGTTTTATATTATCCTATGAAACCATTGGTAACCACTAGGTATGTGATAAATAATAGATACTAGAATGTAAATATGATTTTCAATTGGTTTCCTACTTATCCTAGGTCTATGGAATATTTGAGATTCAGAGAATTACCAGCAGGAATTAATTCTATTGTAGCAATTTTATGTTACACGGGATATAACCAAGAAGATAGTGTTATTTTAAATGCTTCAGCTGTCGAAAGAGGATTTTTTAGGTTGATTTTTATTATTTACTAAACTTACTGATTGTGAGCACAACATAATGAATTTTAAATTATATTTATATTTTCTCTACAGATCAGTGTTCTATCGTTCATATAAAGATTCTGAAACAAAGCGTATGGGTGACCAAGAAGAGCAGTTTGAAAAGCCAAATAGACAAACATGTCAGGTATCTTTTACAGCTTTTCATATTGATATTCCATAAATTGTTTTATTTTGAATTGTTAATGTAATAATGATTTTCAGAAAGCATTAGGCTTTACCACATAGTCTATTATGAACAAAGTGTCTTATAAGCACTGATACTGTTAGAACAATAGTTGTAAACTTTTATAGGTATATTGGGTTTATTCCATCCAAGCACAAATTGACCAAAACTGACAACCTGCAACTTTCGGAAATTCATTATGATCTCTTTATTATTCATTTATGACAGTTTGTAGCTGTTAGGTCTAGGGTACTTGAAATGTTTCTAATCCAGCATTCATCCTGACATATTCGGTATAAATCGGAAGTTGTTTATTGATATTGTTGAAATAATATTTGTTTGAATTGAATTTGAATTATAAAACAGCTTTTTAAATTTAAATGTGATAAACAATTTTTTATGATTTTTTAAAAATAAAAAGAATTCTTATAACACTTGTTATTGTAATTAATTAAATGTATTTGATATTTTTTGTTTTGCTCTGTGTTCTAAAAATGTAGAAATCGACGGTAATCGTCAGTCCGTACACAAAACTGAATATAATACGGCGTAGATTCTAAATGCTCGGCTCATTTTTGTTGCAAAATTTGACATAAAATAAAAACCACTCGCTTTTTCTGTTTATAAAACTCGCTTTATGTTTATATTTTATGAATTTATATATATATATATATATATATATATATATATATATAGTAGTAGTACGTCAATTTCGTGTTGATATAAAATGTTACGACAATTTTTGCTGTAGCACCAAGTAAAAACTAAAAAAATTATGATTCTTTATTCATACACTTTGGTCTAGGCTGAGATAGTCATTCGGTGGAACAAACTAGGGAGTTGTATAAATATTTTCATAAAAAATTAAAATATAAAATTATATATATATATATATATATATATATGTGTGGACATTTGTGAAAAATGACAATAATTTTATTAGGGAATGCGTAATGCTCTCTATGATAAATTAGATGAAGATGGAATAATAGCACCAGGAATACGTGTATCAGGGGATGATGTTATTATTGGAAAAACCATTACTCTTCCTGAAAATGATGATGAGGTATTTTTACACAGCACATTATATCTTAATAATTAAAATTTTCAAATTTATAAACAAACACTGTGGATAAAACTTGCAATTTGCATTTTATTATTTGTCCTAAGCTTGAAGGCACAACAAAACGTCATACAAAGAGAGATGCTTCAACCTTCTTAAGAAACAGTGAAACTGGAATTGTGGATCAAGTTATGTTAACTCTTAATAGTGAAGGATACAAGTTTTGTGAGTTGTAATTTAATAATATTTTCATTATATATAACAATGCTTCAAAAGCTCTCATTTCCAACTGTTTTGAATTACTTATGTTATGGCAAATGTTTTAGTCATTGAAGAAATGCCATATTCTACTTCTTTATAATCAGAATGAAAATATTGTTTTAGAATTAATTATAGTTACTACCAATAAATTAATTCAGACAAATAATAAAATTTAATTTTCAAGGCAAAATTCGAGTAAGATCAGTTCGTATTCCACAAATTGGTGATAAATTTGCTTCTCGGCACGGACAAAAAGGAACATGTGGAATACAATATAGACAAGAGGTGAGGTTAATTGTCATTATTATGTATGTTTTTTAATTGTAAATTATTATACTTCATTATTCAGCACACTTCATATTTAACATCACTTTTTGTTTCAAATAAATTATCTTACCGAATTATATCATATTGATTGCACATTTATTTCTTACAGGATATGCCATTTACTTGTGAAGGTTTGATGCCAGATATCATAATTAACCCACATGCTATCCCTTCTCGTATGACAATTGGGCATTTAATTGAATGTATTCAGGTAATCTATTTTTGTTGAATAATTGTTTGTTATTTATTATAAGAGATGTTTTATTATAATGTGCAATTATAGTTTATCTTATTACCGTGGATTTTAAGTATTGTGATAATAATTTATTACAACTTGTTTTTTAATACAAATTAATTGTATTACAGGGAAAGTTGGGTGCAAATAAAGGTGAAATCGGTGATGCAACGCCATTTAACGATGCTGTTAATGTGCAGAAAATATCAACATTGCTTCAAGAATATGGATATCACTTAAGAGGTAACGAAGTTATGTACAATGGACATACAGGAAGAAAAATCAATGCTCAGGTATAGTTTGTTTTTTATGCAAAATGAATTCAAGTTTTTAATATTATTCATTGATGAGCTTTTGAATACCATATCAAAAAAAGTTTATTCAGCATATGCATAAATATCATTTACTTATCAATAGATTTCTATATTTCTATAGGATTTAATAGTATTAAAGTAGTTGTAATTATTATCAATATAATATAAATAATTTGGCTTTGGAATAAATGTATTTTTTTTTTTCTAAATATTATAATAATAATTTAAAAAACTGGTGTATAATCAAAATTATTTAACAGTGTTTTTACTATATTGCTTATCTGATAGATATTGCTATTTTTGCAGGTCTTTTTGGGACCTACATACTATCAACGTTTGAAACACATGGTGGATGACAAAATTCACTCGAGAGCTAGAGGACCTGTGCAAATTTTGGTACGACAACCTATGGAGGGCAGAGCACGGTAACTATTCAAATGTTGTACATAATATTTTATATTTCTAATTTGATTAGTTCAATATTGTCCATATTATTAACTTATTTTTTATCATAGTGATGGTGGTTTGCGTTTTGGAGAAATGGAACGGGACTGTCAAATATCTCATGGAGCTGCACAGTTCTTACGAGAAAGGCTGTTTGAAGTTTCTGATCCTTACAGGATACATGTTTGCAACTTTTGTGGTTTGATAGCTATTGCAAACTTGAGAAGTAATACTTTTGAGTGCAAAGGCTGCAAAAACAAAACTCAGGTAACTGATATATATTATATAGCTTTTCTAGTGTTGTTTACAAAGCTTAATGTCATTTTGGTTTCTTTAGATTTCTCAAGTACGTCTACCATATGCTGCCAAACTATTGTTTCAAGAACTGATGTCAATGAATATAGCACCAAGGCTTATGGTATTATAACATTCTTCACATCAAAAAGTTTATCAAACTTATTTTATTACGGCAGACACATGTAATATAATTTTACATTTATCCACATTTGGCTTTTTTATTTAATATTTTATACTAAATTTATTTGCCAAATCACCAAACTTACTACAATTACTTATTATTTGCTAAAATTACTAAATTTACTTACCATATCACCAAATGCAATGTGCAGACTAATTCAAAGAAGTGCAAAGTCAGTTTGAATCAGTTTGCTTTAATTTGGGCTCGGATGGAACGAACCCAATGTCATACATTGCTATATATGTAGAATTTTGTAATATGAGTGGAACGAATATTAAATGTTAAAAATGAATAAACTGCACTCAGTTTTTTTGCACACACATTATTTCATAAATTACAGACTTTTTGAGACCAAGTTATGCCTGATCTCCAGTGTGATTTCTAACTGTAAAAAGTATTTGATTAATATCATCAATATTATCAATTTTTTTATTATTATTATTAAATATGTGAATTATGTGTAGAAATATTTGAAAACCATTAGAAATCTTGGGCTGAAGGGATATGGATATTATAATGTAAACAAAAGGAGTTGTGCATCACATACTAAAATCAACAAATGTGAAAACAGAATTTCAAATAAGAGATGAAAATAAATTAATGAAAATAATAAACAAAAAATGTTCTAAATTATTAATGAGGTTTATATAAGCGTCATGTAACATATTTGTCAGTTATGTAGATTTGTGTCAAATATATAGAAATAATGCTTGCAACAAATAGTATATTTGGCAAAATGCCGAATACCGAATATTCGGCATGCTCCAGAGACCGAATACCGAATATTTGGCAGGTTTTTGGTGCCTAAGCTCATTTGTATTAATGTAATTACTATTCGTAATTGTTATATTACTAAGACACTACATGTTTATTCAAGTTTTATGTCTAGACTTGCAACTACTATTTAGCTACTCTTTGTTATTTAGAAAATTTAGTACCATTTACACTATTCGGCCGAATACTGAATACTTGAATACCACATGTGATAAAGAAATAAATGGCAAAGCAGGTTGTATATGTCAACTGCATATAGATAAATTAAAAATAGATATGCAAAAATGAAAGACGTTTGTGTGAAAGACATAAACGAAATATTTTCTTTTGCCAAAACAAGTTTCGGAAATTAAATTTATAATATATTATTTATATTTTTTTATTATTTATATAAAATCTAGAATACTTGATAAATTATAATAAACAATCTAACTTAACTAGGGATATGGAGACGCCAAAAGCATATTTATTTTGCAATGTGATATCAGTAGAAACAATTAATCGATTAATAACTCTTCAAATTGGTAAATAACAGCTCTGTTTATTGATTAATCTACTTATTTTATTTTTGCTTTATTTGAAGTTAACGTGGAATCGAAAAAGAAATTATCCAGTGTTCAATCCCGTAAGCGCAAATCTGCGAAAGATTAAATTAATTATTGGGCATTATTGACGAAAAAATGCGTGCTGATTTAGTTGAAACGGAACTTTATAATATTTATTATAATCGGAAAAATGAAGAATGGGGAGTCAGTGCTTAGAAAATGGCATGTTTATTCCAAGAAATTGAATTGTGACTTTTGTTTTTGTTGCAAATGTTTTGCATCTGGTGAACTGAATTGAATGTTTCAGACATGCGTGGTTAGGGTTATGGAAATGGAACAAATATGAAAAATGAAAGCAAAATTTACTTAGGAACGAAAATCTTAAGGCTTTTTTTATACTTGGTGGTGTCCATACTCTAAATTTAATAATTATTAACTATGCAGAAATAATACATATCAAATATAATTAGTTTTTTTCAATATAGTTCAAGAAATGTGTAATTTCTTTGCATTTTCTACTGATTTTTGGACAATACTTCTAAAATACATTAACAATTGAAATTGATCACAATCACAATTGAAACAATCTTATACTCTGAATATGACGGGAAAGCAAGGAAGAATATAATTCGGCTCTTACGATGTCAATAAGGAGAAGTTTACGACGTAATTTTGGATATTGTAAATAATGAAAAATTAAATTAAAGTAAAATTTAAAAAATCCAACATGAAATACGGCTGTTATGATTGAAAATGAAAAGTTAGTTTTTTTTTTAGTTTTCTTGGCATGATTTGCTCAATAGAATAAATAGCATAATAAATAAGTAAAATGTTTCAAAACCCAAATATTAATAATGCACATACATTTAAAAAAAATGTAATTTTTATCTAATTTTAATAACAAACTGTTGAAACAGTTAAAATTAATAGGGGGGGGGGGCGCTAAAAAAAAGTTGCATGCGGGTGTAATTTTTTGTGAACTAAATCCAGAATAATTAAAATTAATTTAAAAAAAAATGTAATTTTTATCTAATTTTAATAACAAACTGTTGAAACAGTTAAAATTAATAGGGGGGGGAGGTTTCGCTAAAAAAAAAGTTGCATGCGGGTGTAATTTTTTGTGAACTAAATCCAGAATAATTAAAATTAATTTTTAAAAAAATGTAATTTTTATCTAATTTTAATAACAAACTGTTGAAACAGTTAAAATTAATAGGGGGGGGGGCGCTAAAAAAAAAGTTGCATGCGGGTGCTAAGGACCCCAGGACCCATAGATAAGTAAACATAACCAGGATAAAAAACCATATAGCCAGGACCGGCCCTGATTATCATTATCATTATACTCTTCTTTTATCTATGGTCATTATGGTCTTTGTTTGAGACAGCTGCTTATAGATTATTATAGATTTGTTTTATAGATTACTGTATTATACACATATACAGTCTGTATACTGTACATTAATTGTCAACAGCGGAACCTTGCTTCCAACTGTCGTATGAGGAAAACGATATTGTGTGCTAAAAGAGATATATAAAAAATATTTACGAGATATGATGACAGATGCGCCACTGCAGTCACCATATTTATGATGGTACACACCACACGACACACGTGGGTATCTGTGGTTTCACGGAGTACGCTAACTTGATAGGTTATCAAAGCGGCTTCAAAAACACAAAATTCGGAGAATATTTATACTTAATAATCAGCTTCGGCGTTGCTATTTGATAATATAGTCTGAAGGTTCAGCGATGTCGGATTTTGAAGACCAAGATGATTTTACTGACTCCGAAGACGAAGAAGTATGTTGTTATATTACATGTGTCTATATAAACATATAACCTCAAATGTTTGTTTTAGTTACAACAAGCCTTTGCAGAAGGAAAATTAAAACCTGGCTTAAACGTAGTTGAAGAAGAAACAAAAAAAGTGTTCGTTAACAATGTGGTAATGAAATATTTTATATACAATAATATCTTTATTTGAATACAAATCTTTCACTTTCATTCCATTTATTAAATCAGGGTGCGTTGAGGCATAAAGTCCAATCGTTTAAGCAAAAATTACCGTGGGTGGAATGCTTGGATTTGGTAAATGAACCTGCACCTTTAGCACCTGAACTTGCAATGCAAATAAAAGAACACGATGACAAAAGGTTTGTTCTTTTTAGGTTGCTAACTGCATGTATTTCCTTTTAATAAATTGTCAAATCTTAATTCTTCATCTAATGAACATCTTAAATAAAGATATTTTTTTATAGCGTCTAAATAACATTGATCTTGTTTTAAATTTTTAATTAGGTATTTATAAAACATAAAATCTTGATTGTTCATATATAATTTTAGGGAAAAACAGTTGAAAAATAATGCTAAACTAGCTAAAATTACACCGAAGGACGATCCTGTTGTAAATGATTTTCACCGTGAAATGTTATTTCATCAGCAAGCCCAAGCAGCAGTTATAGATGGTATCTCAAGACTAAAGAAACTTGGAGTTTATACCAAGAGGTTAGCATCTAAAGCCATATTATTTGTATTTATTATATCATAATATTTTTTTAATATTTTTTTTAGACCAGAAGACTATTTTGCTGAAATGGCAAAATCTGATGAGCATATGCAAAAAGTTCGTAAACATTTATTAGCAAAACAAGAAGGTCAAGCTAAATCAGAAAGAATGAAACAATTACGTGAGCAGAGGAAACTTGGAAAACAATTACAAGTATGTAAATTCGATATGTATAATTCAAATAGTAGTGATTTTTTTAAAATTTCTGAATAATTAATTTTTGAAAATTATTGGTTTACAAAAAGCTAGCAACATTGTACAATTATTTTTTATTTCAAACTATTTTAATTTTTTAAGGTTCAAGCAAAAGTTCAAAGAGCCATGGATAAGAAGGAAATGTTAGATCAAGTTAAAAAATACCGCAAAGGGCAAAAAAGTAATTTGGATTTCTTAGATGGCAATAAAAATAAACCCAACATAAAAAATGTGAACCAAAGGTCTATGGCTAAAAGGAAAGCGAAGGATGCTAAGTTTGGCTTTGGTGGCAGAAAGAAGGGATCAAAATTAAATACCAAAGAATCTGCTGCTGATGTTACTGCTTATAGGAGACCTCCAAAACTTACTGGTAAGGGTTCAAAACTGAAAGGTTCTAAAAAACCTGTGCTAAAACGATTAGGAAAATCAAGACGGCAGAAAAGCAAAACCCCCAGGGGTAAAAACTGATTTATTTTTTTAAATCAGTAAATTTCTGCTTTCATATTGCAGAATTATATTTATTAAATAAGCTTGTTATGTTTTTATCATAAATAAAAGTTTTATATTTAAGGATATGTTGCTGTAACTTATTTTTATTTGTAGAACATCTATATCAAGCATAATTTTAAAATTAATTAAAATATGCCATTAATTATAATTTTAAAGACTTTTATACAAATTTGAAATAGAGAAAATATTTGTGGTTATTAATTTTTATGGTAAACATAAATTTGTTCTCTATGCAATCTAATTTGATGAAGTTCAAATCATGGTTGAGTAAAGCAACTCCACTAATGAACAATTATTTTTTTCATAAATGTTAATGAAATGTTTATTACATTAACATTTATGCAAAAAGCTTAACGCACATAACATGATATTTGTTGAATTTTTTATGTACATATGTTGCTTAGTAGAACTTATTTTATAATTCTTATAGAAAAGAACAAAGAAACTCACTATACATTCGCTGGTCAAATAATAAAGTAAATAATCTCAATAAAGAAAAGTAATTGCGAAAATCATAAATTCATAGTTTTATAGCAAATCTTATTTATTAATATTTGCTACAGGTGTAGGTATAACATTTTGTTTTTATTAGCATCCTTTAGAGTAATTATGTATTAAATTTGATGTCATTTTTCTTATACACTTATTCAACAAATCATTTCTTAGTAGGTTTCTTCCCTTTTTTTAAACGTTTCTTGTCGCGAATGCTCCGCTTACTCATCCAAGGGGGGTAATTTCCAAACTGATCCCTCATTGTGCGTTTATTATAAACCCTCACAACTTTATTAGTATCCATTTCCTCTACTTCTGTTTCCTTATTGGGCGTCTCAGCATTTTGGGTTTTGTTAATTTCTTTCTTTTTGGATATCTGAGAATTTATAAGATAAAAAAATATAGCGTCAAGTGATCATGAAATTCAAATTGAAATAAAATTATAATAACCAAAACTTTAGAAGAAAAGAAAAATAGGAAAGATAATTTAACAGATTGGTTAAAAAGTTATTAAAAACGACTTATCAATCCTGTCATTTAAGAAATCTGTCGAATTATATTATTTCCATACCTTGTCTTTAATGTTTGTTATAGTTACAATATCTGCAACAGGTTCCATTTGAACATCTGATGGGTTGCTGTTTTCAACTATTCCTAAAGTTTTCTTCAAGCGCTCAAGTTCTTTGACTTGATATCTTTCACGTTTCACTGCTCGACATTTTCGTCGCCACTTACTTCTTAATGATTTAGCCATACTGCAGTAAAAGTCTAATTCGTATTTCAAAATTAACAAAGAAAAATCGTGTTATATAATCGAACCCAAAATCTTAGCTGTTAGTGGTAAACTTTGTCAAATGGTGTATTTACATTACGCCAAAAAGTGTAAATGGGACCGCGTGTATATAACCTTCATATTGAACTTCATTTATGACAGGGCATAGAAGGCACATGAGGATTTTCATAGATGATGATGGTAGACATTTGTCATTTTGCAAGCTTGCCAACAGTGTATGGAAGCGCGCGTATTGTAGTTAAAATTAAATCGGTTGCTATTCAAAATTGGTTATGAATGTTAAGTTCTGCCCATAAAGAAGAATAAGATAAATAATCGCGTGTCTATTAAATAAATGATTGTATTAATTAACTTTCCGAAGAAGAGGATTATGTTTTCATCAAAAATCCGATTCGCTAATATTGTTTTCTCGACGTTTCAAGCCATTCTAAATGAGACTAAATTTGGAAAAAGTATGTTCGCGTCTGTGTATGTGTGAACAGATTTTTTTGCCGTAAATTGACGTTTTCTCAAAAACGTCTGGATCTATTTCAACATTTTAAAAGCCATTCGATGTATCTCGATGACTAGCGTTTATCAATTTTGCGCAACGATTAGCCAAGCCGTTTCTTGTAAATCGCAGATTTTGTGCATTTTTGTTTCTTTAAATCGCAGAAAAGTGAAAAACCTTTTGTCCACGTTGTTTTAGCCTGCTATTCTGAAACAATTTTGAAAATAAAAAACCGTTTGAAAGATATTGGTTGGGAATCGTGCTGATTAGTTTTTGGTAAAGATCGGCCGGGCCGTTTTCTTGTAATGAACTCGACGATTTTTATGATTTTTTTTATGGTAGATACCATAGTCTTATATATCATACTAAATTATTACGGCCCTATGACAAGTCGTTTAATTTAAAAAATCGTCAAAGTTTACAAAAAATAGTATCGTTTTTTCGGCATTTGTCAAAATTAGATTTTTCATCGCCGTTTACTCAAAAACGCCTGAACCGATTTCAGAAATTTAAAACCCATTTGATGTTTCTCAATGAGGACTATCGTTTGTCAAGTTTGTGCGACGATCTTCCAAGCCGTTTCTTTGTAATTTAAAAAAAAAGTGTTAAACTTTTTGTCCACATTTAAGCTCATACTACCGAATAGATTTGAAAAAATCAAAAACTGTTCGAAAGATATTAGTTGGTAATGATAATGATTAGTTTTGGGTGAAAATATACCAGGCCGTTTTCTTGTAATTAACTGTTGAAAAAAAAATTAAGCCGCTTTTTATGGACCTTTTTTTGGCGATATATATCATGGTCTTATAGAACTTACTGAAATATTACGGTCTTACGACAAATAGTCTAATTTTAAAAATGCATCAAAGTTTGGGAAAATGAGTAATTATTTTGACGTTTGTTAATATTAAAATTAGACGATTTACTTGTTATAACGATAGAGTTCTTTATAAGCGTACTAAACCATTAAATTCCTACGAAAACTGTTAGAATTATAAAAATTATTGATTTGTGAAAATTTGCTTTTAGAAAATACTCCGTGTTCATTCGTTTTCAATTATATGTAATAAATCCACTGGAATACTTTTAATCACTCACAAATTAATTTATTTTTTTATTAATTAAGTCAATTATTTACACATATCGGGAAGTTCATGTAACTTGCTTCAAGACAAAATACCAATACCAACTATAGTTTGTTTTGTATTACGAGGCATAGTGAAGATGCTTATCTGATCATATAGGTTTTCTGTACCAATTTGTGAAAATAATATTAATGTTATTTACAGATGTCACAATACATACAATTAATATTAATCGTATGCATAGTTAGTTTGTCAATTTTTGAAATATTACGATTAATTACATATCCCTTTTTTATGCTTCTGACTTTTCTATATATTTATCAAACCTGTACGATAAGCATTTCTTTACCACCATTTAATAGGTGAAGCGAAGACAAATTTTAAAATATTAAGTCTCAAAAACCTCAGTAATAAATAAGGATTTATAGATCAAATTTGCAGGTAAATAATTTTTGCTTTTGATTTTTGATTTTTTAGCGATTATCCTACAAAAAGTTGATAGATACGTAACATTTATGGATTTTTTTAACCAGTTACCTAGCTCTTTTGCCATACATTTTTTACCGATTGTATTTTATATAATATTTGTTTATAACCATTCATTCATTCAGCAATTCTTTGTTAACAGTATCTTAATTTTTTTTTCTTTTTTTATATACTGTTAACAAAAAATTGCTGAACGATGACACACAATCCGTGTCGAAACGTATATTATAAATAAATATTTGTATTTATTTGTTTTTTTATTTTGATGACTGGCTGAAAATCATTATGTAATATATACATATATATATATATATATATATATATATATATATAATTATTCTTATCGGTTAAACCGCGCGCCCGAAAACGTGGCCGAAAAATGGTATTCATACGTACATATACACACTAGGGTGGTCCTTAACAAGGATATTTTCGAATTTCTTTGCTCCCAGTGGCGCAATTGCGTCCAAATCGAAAAAAAATGATTCTCTGAAAGTTTTAGCTCTTTTTATAAACATTTAGATAGAGCGCACAATAAAATTTACTTGCATATATTTGTTTCTAAGATTTGCTTAAGAAGTGTCAATCGGTAAATTTGTGCGCCATCTGTGATCATTGATCGTGAACTCAAATCTTATGATACATAAGAATATTTATAAACCACATAACATGCACATAACCTCTTATTAAATACTGTGAGCTGTTCTATAAATCTATTCATCATGGCATCAAGAATAATTTTGCAGCAAAATATTTATTTAATTGGTGATGTTGATACTCAAATTGTCAGTAATAAATTACCATCAAAGTTACAGAACAGCTCACATGTATTTAATAAAAGGTTATGTGCATGTTATGTGGTTTATAAATATTCTTATGTATCATAAGATTTGAGTTCACGATCAATGATCACAGATGGCGCACAAATTTACCGATTGACACTTCTTAAGCAAATCTTAGAAACAAATATATGCAAGTAAATTTTATTGTGCGCTCTATCTAAATGTTTATAAAAAGAGCTAAAACTTTCAGAGAATCATTTTTTTTCGATTTAGAAGCAATTGCGCCCCTGGGAGCAAAGAAATTCGAAAATGTCCTTGTTAAGGACCACCCTAATACACACATCCATTATTTCGTAAGATATGCCAAAATGTTCCAAAAACTTCAAAACGTGAAGATATGCAAAAATGTTCGGTTTCGATTTTTGGACGATTTCAATAACTTACCGTACGGAAAGTTAATAAATTCATTTTTATATTTAGATGAATAGTACTAATATTAACATTGTTGTTTATTAGTGAATAGTATTTTTCTGTCAATTTACTATGCATACAATTAAAAATACATCATTTATTCTTGTAAATAATATTTTATTCAGAAAAAGTCTTCATATTTAATACAATTTGTTATTTATAACGTTAGAACAATTTATAAAATTATATATATATATATATACGAGTATATAAATATATAAACATTATTATTATATAACCTCTCTTTACAGGAACAACTGTTTATGACTACTCGAACTTAATTATATACATTAATAAGCGTATTATTTAATCTTTTTTGATATATTAAAACATTGTTTTTGTATATTTTTAAAGTTTTCTAACAAATATTATTCGACATATTTTTTACAATTATTTGTAAAAGTATCTAGCCAAGTAATTTCTTCCGTAATATTGTCTGCTTTGCCTGCAAGAAACTAATGCATCGCCTTTGGTTCCTTCAGGACAAGTACAAACTCCTTTATGCTCACGAGACTCGCATATTGCTTCTACAAATGCAATGAAAAGTCAATTTGTATTGAATGTCACGTAAACTAATAAAGGAACTTATAGATAAATTATAGCGACACAATAATATTTTTATTTCATACGGTATAATATCATCATTAGTATAAAATTTTCCGAAATACTCGCATAAACTGCTAATATAATGAAAACAACTCACGTATTCCGCAAGGGTGTCCAATGCATGGATCGACACATTTATATTGAGAACACGCTAAATGGTTGGGGCATTCACTATCGCTAAAGCATTCGCCCTGAAACGAAATAAAAATTTAATTTAACATTTGACTGAGTACAAATTGTCTTTTATTATCTGACTTACTCTGGTACACTTATGAAGAGCATTGCCAAAATATCCTTTAGGGCAAGTACAAACCGGGCGCTCATTACCTATGTTGTCGAAACCTGGTTTACACTCAGCATTTAAACCACAAGGATTAGGATCGCATAAATCACCTGCAAAATAAATTTAAATATTTTATTATGACTTACATATTAGTAACAATTATTATTTTTTATATTATGTAGTGGATACTCTTGGAATTATTTTAAGACATGTGAAGCGTCGTTTTTTACAAGTTCAACGTATTTACGTTTTTCAAATACTCTGCATGCAATTAGAGGATTCCCGGTCATATGTTTTGGACAACTGCAAACTGGCGTAGTTTGTCTTAACTCGCAATTGGCGTATGCCCCACATGCATTTTCACAGGGATTATGGCAAACACCTCCCATAACACACACTGGTTTATTATAAGGGCATTCTGAATTTGTGTAACATTCCGGGCGACATTTATGATGTGGATCTCCTATGTAGTTCTGAAATAAGTAACCGTTGTGATTATAAGGATCTACGAAAAGTGAAGCGTTTTTGTTACTAATTTCGATTTCTGAACGTTTATTTTGAGACGAATTCCATTGTGTCAGTAATATCATACATTAATTCACAAATTTATGATGTCACAACGCCATAATTTAATCGTATTGAAAATACTTAATACCTATTTGGCAAAATCATAAAAGGAAATTGAAGGATGTGCTTTTTACTACCGTTGGACAATTACACACGGCTCTGTGATTCACAACATTACTGCATATGGCATTTTCTCCACATTTTGAGCAGGCACTTGTACACTTGAAATTTTCACAAATTTGCGAAGAACTGCATTCAGAATCAGATTCGCACTCATGATGACATCCAGTTAGAGGGCTACCCTATTTTACATTATAAAAATAAATTTTATAAAGAATCAAAATGAAAGAGACTATATAGGTTTTTATTGTTGTTATGAATTGTAATGAAAATAAAAACTACCTTTGTGAAACCTGGCAGACAGGAACATGTTGGCACGTTATTTCTAACAGTGCATTTTGTATTGACTCCACAAGGACTTGGATGACATAATTCTTCTGCAATGATAATTAAACTAGTATGCCGTTGTATAGACTAGTTACACAAACACACACACACACACATACACACATATATATATATATATATATATATATATATATATATTAGGGTGGTCTTTAATATGGACATTTTCGAATTTCCTTGCTCTCAAGGGCTCAATTGATTCCAAATTGATAAAAAACAATTCTCTGAAAGTTTTAGCTTCTACATTTAGATAGTGCGCTCCTACTTTTAGTTATTTTCACTTTTAATTCAATCAAACTTCATATGGAAATAGCATGGAAAATTTTAGGTATAACTTAGTTTAACAAATGAGTTAAAAGTGAAAATTTGTGTCATTTTTTATTGAAAATTCGACGCTCTGCGGAATTTTTGAAAAATTTTTCATGCTATTTCCATACAAAACTTTGAATTGCGCTCTATGTGAAAGACAATATTAAGAGCTAAAACTTTTAGAGAGTTGTTTTTTATCAATTTGGAACCATTTGAGCCCTTGGGAGTAAGGAAGTTCGAAAATGCCCATTATAGGTGCATATATATATATATATATATATATATATATATATATATATATGTATATGTAAGGACTGGGAAGAAGCAAAATGCAGATGATTGATGAGAAGAAAAAAATACAGGGAACAGAAAGCCGAAGTACAGGAGCAGGAAGCATGGAATCAGAAGTTTGAAATTGAAAATGCATGAAAACGTATAAAATCGTTAATAATGATAATAATAAACAATGGAGGAATGAGAATAATTGATTTGTGGTGTTCTCACACCATGGACCTGCAGACAACCATTTACTGCATATATATATATATATATATATATATATATATATATATATACAGGGCCGGATTTAGAAATTTGGCGCCCTGGGGCAATGACAAAAATGCCGCCCCATCCCTGAATTTTTCCTTAAAATATTTTTTATATATCATTTTTCTTAAATTAAAATAACTATTTGACTGCAGAAAATTTATTACTCATTACATACTATAAATAGTGGTGCTTGACGTGTGCCTTAAGGCAAATTGCTGATACTTGAAAATTAAAAAAAAAATTAAAGTGATCGCTCTGCTTTAGCTGAGTAGAGACAAAATAAAGAAGCGCGCAAGCGCCGCCTCGCAGAATAACGTGTAAATAATGTTACAGAACCCATAGAAATATAAACAAAATTCATACGTCTAATGATCATTTTTTACCGCTAAATGTTTCTCTTTCAGTTTTTTTTATTGGATCACCAAAACCGCTAGACCTGCTTCCTACAAACTTAAGCAGTTCTTCATTCATGTAAATTATTTCTGAATGATATTGGAGGTTTCGTTTCTCAAAAACTGAATTAACGAATATTGATTACTTTTAACCGCCAAGTGTTTCTTTTTTAATTTTTTTTATTGGATCACTGAAACCGCTACACCTGCCTTCCACAAAATTAATCAGTTCTCCATTTTGTCTATACGTGTAAAATTTAATGAATTTTAAAAACTAAATTATTATTTTGGCTCCGTATTTTCGAAACAGTTGGACCTGCCTTGGTCAATAACTAATCAGCATGTCTCACTATCAATAGGAATCGAATCATTCAAATAAAATTTAATTTTACTAAATTTAATAAATAAGAGTTAATAATTTTCAAAAAAATTCGAAATAGGTTTTATAAATTCAATTTTTATCATTTTTCAAAAAATTTTAAAGTTTTTTATAAAATGTAATTTTCAGTACGGAAAGTTTCAGTAACAGGCATAATGCCATGCGTCACTATTTTAATTTTTTTCGGCGCTCTAAGCTTGGAAGTGCACAAATTCGTCTTAAGAGAGCTCGAGATCTGAAGAACATATTTTTCTTAAACTTTCAACTCAATTACGAATCTTTATATTAGCCAAATTGCCAAATTACCAAATTTTACATTACATTTGTATAATGTTTTGTTAATTATATTTCTTGAATAAAAAGTGTTATTGAAAAAATGAGTTAATTATATGGTATAGAATTTTTTCTCATTATTCAAATTTTGCCGCCCCCAAAAATTTGCCGCCCTGGGCAGTAGCCCCGACTGCCCCTACTGTAAATCCAGCACTGTATATATATATATATATATATATATATATATATGCAGTAAGCGACTTGTAACGAATAACACATAATGCTTAATTAGCATTAGGTTTCCATATTTTAAATTTTAAATTATAGCACACTGATGATGAGACAAACCTAGTCTCGAAACGTTTGTGAAAATTATTATTTAATAAATTAGTGCAAAAAAGTGTTTTTTGTTCATATTTCCAAATTAATATCTATTATCCACTCAGAATACATTTGTTATATTTGAATTAAAGAAAAAAATATATATAGCACGATTCGTTAGAAAAAGAATATTTGCTTTTACTTGATTTTATATTAAGGTTATTTCATGGAACTTTTATTATCAAAGTTTCAATCGAGTTTTGTTGAATTTTGTTGCACTATGAAGCAACAAAAAGTAGCCATGCAAAATAGTATTTTAAGTTATTTGTGGCTTAAGTGCTAACTCAAGCCATTTATTGCTAACAATTTTTTGCGTAGAGTTTATTACGATGTAGTAATAAGATCTAGCAATATTTTAAACACTTTACGTGTAAGTATAGTTAGCATATAGGTTGTATAATGAAGGTACCTGATAAGATTTACCATGCGCAATACATTAGTTGTTCTCGCATCCTATATTTATCAACGTGTGCAAGTTTCTAAATTATTCATTCAATTAAACAAATAATAAAATCACACAATTGAATAAAAACATTGATCGTAATAATTGAACTAAAGCAGTGATAACTGCATAATTATATATTCACCTCATTAGTTAGTTGCGGAAGCTACCAATAAGCGCTTCATAAGAAATGGTCACATTGCACTTTTAACATTTGGGATAACGCATTATTATTTAAATCATCTTTTTTATTTATCTAGCGATGATTTTTTAAAAGAAATGTACTGCTGTTTCTTGTTTTAGATATAAGCGTTACTTTCTTTACATGTTCATATTGTTATTATAAATTTAGGAATGCCAAAGTATTTTGAATTTTAAAAACTTACTAAACGGGATCTGGGTGTTTAATTTTTCTACAAAATGAGGTTAATAAAAAAATTCAATTGTTTCATGGGTTTTATTTTTGGAACTATAATTTCTATCATTTCTATCTCTCAAACCAATTTAGATATTATTAGATTATATTGATCACAAAAAGCATACGATTCATGATATGAGTTGAAGCTTATAATTGCTCGGAATAATAAAACGAAACAAATATTTTATAGGTGACTTGCCAATATATGAGTAGCAAATAGCTGGGTTATTATATCGCTATTTTTTTTTAGTAAAAATTAGCAATTAATGTTAATTTATATTATATTAGCGGTGTTAATAATTCCTATTGTTATACATAAATGTAGCTTACTTATACTGAGAATGTTATATCTTCTATAAGAAATACCTCCGCCACTACTAAAACAATTTTTATTCAACCACATGCTCCTGTAACCTAAATAATTTTAATGAAAAGCGATAATTCATTAGCAATAATTCAAGCAAACTATTAAACAATAGTTAATTGTGATTTTATTATTAATTATTTACCAGGATTAAATACTCTACAATGTGTAAATGGATCTCCCGTGTAACCGGTAGGACAACTGCAAACCGGATTATGGCCCACCGTCTAAAATGTAAAAAAAAAATTGTTTTATTCAGTTAATTTGCGTTTATTTCAGTAAGAATGAGGCAAATTTGTAGATTTTACTTTTGGCCCAATAATTATAATCATCTCGAAATTAAATAATTTTCTTTTTGTTTTATAATTTGCATCTATCTTGAAAACTTTTCATTGTAAAGTTATCACAACGGGGCAAAAATAGAGAGTTCTTACAATTAGCGAGTAGAATTAGCGAAACAAACCGGCTTAATAAGATACATGTAAAGGCTTAGATAAGATACATGTAAAAGATGTCGAAGAAAAAGTTTAAAAAAAAACAGCGCTAGTGTTTCTAATAATAGTCTAAAGCAATTAACTGAGCAAAGAGAAAAAACAAAACAAAAATATTAATAGCAGTTGAAGAAGAGCAAATAGAAGTATGAATGGAGTTTGTGAATAGATTTTTGAACACTGTAACTGAAATTAGGAAAACATTTTTTTTCAAATATTGGAAGGAGTTTAAATACTAGTTAGGGTATTAATTGTAAACTAGATGCCCTTTTGATAAAAAATGCGAAAACTTGGAAACGCAAAATAGACTGAACAATCTGACTGAATTTGAATATTTGTTTCTATAAGTATATTCGTATATATCACTTTTGTATAAAATAAATACAGTTATTAAATTTGAAACATACCAATTTTTAATTCAACGTCTCCGAACCCCAATATATACATGATAAGTTAGCCCATTAGCGTTGTTTACCCTCTTTGATGAGATTCAACCCCCGCGTTAAGCGGGTGTTACCAGTGGTGTTGTGCTAATTTTTTTTTACTGGTACGCTAAAATTAAAAAAAACGGTTGTTCCTATTTGTTCCGGTTCGGTTGAAAAAAAAATCATTACAAAAACCCATATAAGAATATATATGTATGTTTATTATATAATAGAAACGTTTAATAAATTGGTAATAAAAATTTGTTAAATTATATTATATAATTACACGTACTTTGCAATTGGCATTTGTACCACAGGCATTGACACAAGGGTTAACACAACTATTGTCGATACAAGCTTGGTCTTGTCTGCATTCTTCACTTCCTGTAAATATCGTGCTTTAATTTAAATAATTTTAATAATATATATATATATATATATATATATATATATATATATATATGGCATTTTAAATACTTGCACATAACATTGAATTGCTTATAAAGAGCTTAAGAGTACTGTAACTTACAGGACTCACAGACTGTAAGTTATTAATGTATGGCACTGAACAAAGTGCATATTAGAGACAGCATCACTTAATATATATTTATTTTTACCTATGCATTCGTATCGAAAA